TTATTTTATTTTTTTTTAATGCATAGCATTTCCTGACAGCTCAAACCTTTAATTAACTGGAGATGCCATCGTGGAAAGTTTGCTAGAGAAGAATGCTTGTGGTTTAATTAAAAAGAAAAAAAATCTTTTATAGGTACTGGAAGAGATCTGCTTACGTCTTTAATAGTGGCAAAAAGCCTGCAGGAACTCTTCCATTTCCCTTTCTGACTGCAGCAGTAGGTGAGGAGGTGCAGAGCAATATCATCACCCAAGAGGAGAACGTGAGTGCTTCACAGCTTCATGTTTGACCCTCCAATTTAAGCTGCAGATGTAGGACAAGCTACAGTTCTGTTACCTCAGCAAGGAACAGGAAAGGAGAAAGCCAACTATAAAGTTTTTACTTTTTTTTAAAAAGAATTCTAACTTACAGTTCTCTTGGTATTAGGCCAGAGCTGTCTCTAACATCTGTGGTCTTCTCTAAGGGCACACAGAGAGAACATTGTTCACATACGCACTGGTCTGGTTTTTTTGGCTCCCATTGCAGCACAAAAGCAAAGACAATGCTTACCTGCCACAAAAATGTGGAATACAGTTCATGGTATCTTCAATAGCTTTCATGGAAGCCTCTCTTTGAGATGGTAGGGTACTGCCTGAGGTGGCAGAGAGCCCTCGCTGCCCTTCGCAACCCTGAGGGCTGTGTGTGACGGCAGCTGTGGCAGGGAACCACGAGCTCAGTACACACTTGCACCCTTGCAGCAACTTACCACAGGGCCAAGGCACGGTAGTGTCAAGTGCTGCAGAGGTGGTGGACCCCCATGGCAAAGCAACAATCTGTCCTTGCTCCTGTGCAAAGGACTTGCTGGCTTCTCCCCTTCCTCTCCCTGCATTGACTGGATTAGGAACAGATCAAGTGACCCAGAGGCTTTTTAAACAGCTACAGATCCAAAAAGCAAATTTGGTTCTAGTATTAAATATATACCTGGAAAAGTCACTGACATGACTGTTCACATTCGAAGCACAGCTCCACCCCTAGAAGAGTATCAAATGGTTTCTGAGTCATCTCTGGGAGCAGGTTGGGGCTGTTGGGGTGGTGCCTGGGCTAGGGGCATGTGCTGGCCTGCTCTCCTGGAGGCTCTGTATCCACGCTGCCACCTCAGCTGCTGGGTGACAAGGGACAGCTGGGCTCCTTCTGAAACATGCCAAAGCTCAGAACTTGCCAAAACAGCTATTTGGGAGCAGCGTGATGTGCTCAGCATGGTTAAATTCAGTGAGGGTAGCACACCTTCTTCCAGGGGTGGGAGAGAAACTTCTGAATGAGCTTCTTTCCCTGAGCCTGGAGCACAAACCCCATTGACTACTTAATGGAATCCATCACCCTGTATAACCACATATTACCACTCTGACCCTCTCAAAAGCTGATCTCTTATTTTTGCAAACAAACATATTCTTTCTGATATACCTGCTACTGCAAGCAGCACCTCGTCTTGGAGAAGGTGCACTGCCATGAACAGCAGTGAGAGCTGGGCTGCCCCAAATCGCTGACTACACCAGATCCTTCCCTGGCAGTGGAGCTCTGTGTCCTATAAGCCCCTTTTCAGCCAGAGCTCAGTGAGCCTGCTCCTCCTTAGAATAATTTCCCATGTTCAGTTGAGACTCCTCAGCATCCCAGCTCTGGGTAGATTTTGATCCTTTTCTCTGACCACTTCCTGAGTATATCCGTTTAAGCCCGTTTCAACTTTCTCAGAACAAACCACACAAGTATTTGTGATCCTCTTAGAAAAAAAAGCATGTTTTTTCTCTATGGATGGAGCATAAGATGTGAACCGAACTCAAACCCAGGAGTAAAAACTGCACTGAAGCAGTACCAAGCTCGTTTGTAGACTTGGTGAGATTAGAGTCCCTTGAAATGTGCTTTACAGATGCCCTTGAAATAGCAAGGAGAGCTACTTTCCCATACCACCCTTTCCTTAGGGGACCCCAAAGGGGCTGTGACCTGAAGCTGGGATTGTGAAGTCTCCTTTCCACTCAGAAATAATTTTCTATTTTGCTTTCATGAAACAATCACTTTCATCAGCTTTTCAATGCTGATACCAACAAATGCTACCCACCCATTTCTTAGACTATTTTTTTTTTTCTGCCTCTGGCTGTACTGCCCTTAAATTCTTTTCTGTTGGAAACAGATAATATGTTATGGACCTCACTTGTGAAGCATCTGAGATTGGCAGATGAAAAATTAGAAAAATGGGAAATATATGGGTCAATAATACAACAGAAGATTTTTTTATTGCTATGTTTTTAATGGAATTACAGTAGGATTTTTATATGAGTCTCTGAAAGTCTATGACTTCAAATAACTCTGAACCTCCAGATTTGTATTCTTGCCTTATTCTTGCTTAAATAGCCGTTACCATCATCTGCATGATATATCATCTGTCCCAGAACACAGGCACACAGTCAGGAGCAATATACTTCCTTGGAGACAGTGTGCATTACTAGAACTCCTCGAATCTCTTGCCTCATGGCGGGACAGCTGCACGAGTGGGGATTTGCTCAGTATCCCCCTCCTCGCTGGAGCGGCAGCAGTGCCAGCAGGGAAGCGTCAGGCCTCCTACCGTTCTTTGCTGGGCACAGCAGGTTATCCATCATGGCACCAAACCCTGCCAGTGAAGCTTTCCCTCAGCAGAGGGAGTTGTTTCTCAAGGTAATAAGAAACCATTATCTGATTGCATTTTTGTCAGGTATGTCCTATTTATTACCTTACCTGTAATCTAATTTGTAATGTATTTCCCTGATATTTTCTATACTTCCCCCCTATGTTTTTCCATAACTTCCACTGAAAGCCTGACCTACAAAAAAGACAAGGTTTTTTATCCACCAGCGATAACACCCTCTGAGTGCTTTTATCTGGAAAAGCTCTCCTGGCACAGAGGGAGGTTTGCTAGGAAAAGCTCAGCACCCTCTGCAAATGTTTTGGGGGAACCCTGAGTAACAGCAACCAAGGTCGCTTTGTCCCAGGCCAGGAGAACACCAGCACCTATTTTCTACTTGGGGCAAGATGATCTTTTTGGTTAGAAAGCCATTCCTGAGCCAAAGGAGGTACGTGAGAGGCAACAACCAGTCTGACCAACAGCTGGGATGGGCAGAAGGTAAAGAAGACAACTACAAACCACATGAAAACCACCACTGATGTACTAAAGCTGCTGAAAGCTGCTCAGGTGTTCCACCTTAGCTGTCAGGAAAAAGTGTGAGGCAACAGTTTGGGGAAGAGAGCAGACTCTGTAGGTCCTAACTAGGCTGAGCAGAGATGTCTCATGGTGGCAGAGTGTGATGGTCCAGCTGCCCTGAATGTGGGGCTGAGGAACATTGATCAGCACAACAAGTGAACAATGGGAACAGGTTGCATTTTCAGGCTGGGGTGGGCTTCCCATGTAGCATCAAGCTGCTGGCTCAGCAGGGCACGAGGGTTTTCTGCTCTCTTCCCACCTGGTTAATTCTGCTCCTGCCAGGCTGTGCTACTGCCAGTGTCATAAAACAAAGTTCAGCCTAAGCCTGCCTGCTAGACCTGGATTTCCTTGTTCTGGTAAAGGTGTTTCAAAGTCACACAGCTTTAAAACAAAGAAAGAGAAATGTCCCTTCTTGTGGATGCTAATGAAATTTTTATCTGGGCATCTTTCTGTGAATGTTGGGCCTGAGAGGCATGGATTATGTTAGAGGAGAAGGGCTTACGGAGCCCTGGAAATAAATCAGAGGAGGACAGAGGATGAAGATCACAAATGATAAATTAGCAAGTGACAGAAAACAACTGCAGGAAATAATAAAACCAGGAGGAGTGTGTGGGAAATGCATAGGAGAGGTTGTTTACAACATGTGCATCGGACTTTCCAGCATTTGACATCTTATCTCCATTTCATTCCATATGTTACTTTATGCAAGGTTTCCTGTTTTTATAGGGTTTGTTCTATAGTTTTTGTACTAACATGAATGGCTCACATCTGCTCCAATACTTAATTTATTCTCTAATGTCTTCTGCAAGGGTTTGCTCAGCTTGTGCAGTACTTGTCAGTGGTAAGATCTGAGGAGCAGTGTCAGGCAGGTGAGCAGGGATAGCTGCATGAGGCAGCTCGTTTCTGGGGTCCTACTCTGTGGTGGGTTTTTTTTTCCCCTTAGCGAGGTCTCTAATTCCCACTTTGGCTACCCTGTGCAGACAGGCCTGCTGTGCTGGGGCAGTATATGGAGCCAGCAAGGAACACCCCATGGGACAGGGATGACAGCTGAGGACCATTCCTGAAGGAGACCACGGCATGGCACCAAGCTGCTGCTGGCATACCAACAGCTGATGATTATGATTTTATTTTTTAAGTGTTCTTGACAGCTCCGGAGACTCACATCGTCTCTTCCAAATCCAGTAATTAAATTCCACCTACCTGAATTCCCCCTGCTGTTTCAATTGGTTAAATTAATCTTCCCATCATGTCTGAGCCTCCTCTGTGTGTTGTTGAACGGTGGCCTCCCCTCGCCCCGGAGCCGGGCGACGACCGGGACGGGGACCGACCCGGGCCAACTTCGCAGCGGCGCAGCCCAGACCCGAGCATCCTTTCGCGTGGAAGTGGCCCAGACCCACTCACGGTCTGTGGGAGAGAGATGGGCGTCCCCGATTACACACACACATTCCCCCCGCCTCCATACACCTTTCCCCTCCGGCTCCACGTCTCCGTCCCCGGGAGCTGCCTCCCGGACAGGGAACGGACAGGGCAGCGTCTGCTCCGCGGTTCCCTCGGGGGACCAGCCCGACGGTCTGCCCGCCGCACCTTTCCCCGCTCCAGCCCCCCTCCTCCCGGCGCCTCCTCCTCCTCCTGTTCCTCCTCCCCTCCCCTCCCCTCCCCTGCAGAGCATGCACAGCCCGGGACTCGCATCGCCGGCTCCGAGGCGGGCGGGCGAGACCCTCCTCCCCGACTAGCCCCGCTCCCGCTGCCCCGGGAGGTGCCCGCGGCTCCCCCGTGCCTCCTGCCTGTCCCCGGGCCGGACTTTTCCCTCCTCCCGAGGATGAGGCGGCCGACGCGGCGGCTGGCGCTGTCTCTGATGGGGGTGCTCTGGCTCGCCGCCCTCCTCCTCTTCTTCTTCGAGGCGCGGAGGAAGTTGGAGGCGGCGGAGCCCGAGGGACACACGCCGGAGGTAAGAAAGGAAGGGGCGGCGGGGCTGGGGCTGGTCGGGCGGGACTCGGGCGCGATGCCGCCGCTGCCCGGGGAAGAAGTTCCCAGCGGTTTTCGGGACCCCCCCGATCGCGTTCCCCTTAAAGTTTGGTGCCGGCTCTGTGCCTGCGTGGGATGGGGGGAGGCGCGGTCTGGCCCTTTCCATACCCGCCCGGTCGTGGCCCCCCCCACTGCCCACGGTCTCGGACAGTGGCAGCCACAGCCTCCCTCTCGCCCTGCTCCTTCGGGGGCTGTCGGGGCTCCCCCGGCCGCGCCGACCCTCTGCCCCGCTGCCAACTTCGAGCATCCCTCGCTCCGGACCCTGGGGAGCGGGAACACCGGTGCGCCCCAAGGAAACGAAACGCGTGGTTTGTGTCACGGGTGGGGAACCGGCGACTCCTTTCCCCCGTGGGTCACACCGTGTTTCCGAGCTCTGCCCCAAAGGAGAAGGGTGCGATCCTGTGCCCGGGCTGGAACGAGAGGGGAGCAGACGGCGAGCACTCAGGTGGTCCGTGGTTGGGGTACACGGGCTGGCCGAGTCCGGATAAACCGCTGCGGCTTTCCGTGGCTGGTTGTGATGGAAGAACTAAGCACGGGCAGGATGCCCTGTGAGTCCCAGCCTGGGTGGAAGGAGCGTGCGTTTGCACTCGCGCCTTTCTATGTCATATCTCGAGTCCCTGGAGTGCACAGGAGTGACAGCACGGGAGAGATGCGAAGAGCATCTCACTCGACACAGTGAGTGCATCAGAGGAGTTTCGCTGCCCATACGCTGCGAAAAGCAGGGGACCTGCCAGCAGCTTCGGCTGAACGAGATCCCTCTCGAGGTCCTGTGTCCTCTCCCAACGGCTGAGAGCTGCTGAGGGTTAGCCGAGGGTTAACTTTCCAAAGGACAAGGATTAAATGCTGCTCTTAGTTGTATTGTGTAAATCTTGAATTAGTTAATCTCGGTTAGAGCCCAGATCCTGAAAATACTCTGAGATTAGGGTTACTGTGGCAGAGTGCAAGCCCTCAGCCTCCTTTTTTGCACCAGTGACACCCAACATCGTTTGGCCCGTGACTTGTGACAGCTATATGTGTTCGCCACATCTTTGTAGAGTCTCATATGTGTCTGTCACCTCTGCAACTGAATTAACGACCTGATTGGGAAAAAAAAAGTCAGAACTCATAAAGCTTACTTTGATTTTTTCATCTTGAGGAATTATTGGTTTTCCATGTTTTTTAAATAAAAATGATTGAAGAGGGTTTTTTTCAGGCTTTCGGAAATCTTTCAATCCTAGCAGAGGGGAATGAATCTATGCAATTTCAGGCCCCAAAAATAAAATAATAATATATACATTTATTTATTTATTTAAGCGGGGGAAAGGCAATAAGTCACTGAAAGCAGAGCTAGAGGACAAATGCTTTCTTAACCATAACTAGGCTTTGGCAACAATAGGTTTCTGACAGAACTGCATTCTTAAAAATTGCGAAAGAAGACCTTCCCTGTGTGATGGGGGGCTCCTATATTCTCCTTGAAATGAACCTTGCTTCTTGATTAGTACCAGCTGCAGCTGAATTACTGCCATTTTTGCAGCCTGTTTGACTCTCTACTCCCATTCAAAGCTCCCCCCACCTCAGGGTGCAGGTTGCTTATGCTCTTATGGGCCAGTCTTGGCTGCTACAGTAGGTGAACTTCTCCCATCAGACAGGATCAGGCCCTGAGTTTTGAAGCTGCAGCTGCCAAGTTGCCATAACTCCAGCAATTTGACTGCTTAAATTGCCTCTCCTTCATTTCTTCCAAAATTCCATCAAAACAGTTGCATCCCCTTGAGATCCATAGAGTGCAGATTCTTTTTTGTTTTTTAATTCATTGCGTTTTTTGGCTTTGGAAACTGCTTTTGAGCAGTATGACTTGTAAGTTGCTTATGGGCATGGGGATGTGGTGTCACTTCAGTTAACACCTTTGAAAGGCTGCAGAGCTGACTTGGGTACAAGAGACAGGGATGCTGCAGTCCAGAGAGGAGCCTGGTGGTGTGTCCCATTGCCCTGGCTGGTGGGACTGGCTGCCACAGATGAAAACTTGAGCAGTTAAGAGTTGTCCTCCCAAATTCCTAGAGGTACAAGAGGAGGTGGAAGTTCCTAACAGCAGTGCAAACATTGTAACACGGCCACAGAGCAAATCCACATAAACTTTCCTGGCAGCATTTTCCAACGTGTTTCCCACCCCCTCCCCCACCTCCCTGCTTCTGCCTTCTCCCTCAGTTGAGCTGTATGTCTGTGAACATATGCACACCATGTATCATGCCTCATGTAGGTTTAACCTTTAGACCCTTCTTAGTTAGGCTCTAACTGGTCATGCTGCCTCCTGCCCATGCTTGTCTCCTGGCAGGGCTCACAGCACACATCCAGTGCTGGAAGGCTGGAGTTCCCAAGCTCCCGGCTGGCTGTGGCATGTTGGTGGCTTGCCAAGGGCCAGCAGCAGAGCTGCTGCCCTTGGCTGTGCGGGTGCCCATCCATCACTGTTATTTTTGGTTCTTTTCCCCCCCTTCATTTATCCCAAATACTCTGCAAGATCCAGGCTTCAGCTTCCCGAAGGATGGCTTGCGATGCTTTTCTTATAGCTGGAGAACTCAGTGTTGGGGTGGGCAGAGTCTCCAAGGACCAGGACCTTGGTGTGAGGGGTCTGATGCAGTTTTTGAGTCCTTCCTGCACCTGCTGACTTGTCATTTTGTGGTCACAGTGGAGGCAGGCATTTGGGGTGGGTCTAACACCACTTTGAGAGCTTTCCCAAGCTGCTTGTGCCTGAAGAGGTAGGCACAGCCCTCTGTTGTAATTCATTTGGTTTCACCTCCCCAGTTGTTTTGTTTTGGTTTGGTTTTTTTCTGTTTCTCCTTTAATCCATCTCTGTGGATCTCTCACTGCTGCCCGGGCGGCAGGCAGACTTAGAGGGCCCCCCTTTTTGCCAGCCCTTGCTCCCCTCAGTCCCTGTCGCTTCCCTTCCCTCCTTGTTCCTGCTGCCTGCAGCTGCTGGTGGTATGTGCCAGGGCGGTGGAAACAGGTTGAGGCTGGATTTTAGGGTGTGGGACTCCCTCGTGTGTGAGGAGTGTAGTAACCTTGCAGGACTGGTAGGGTATGGAAGAAAATCACTTGCAGTGTTTAGGACCATGAAATTGTTCCTGGGATGACTTCCCCAGTCCCTCTGGTGCTGTTTTTACTGCTGTCCCTTGAGGTTTGGGGATTATTGTTTTTTTTTCCTTTTCCAAAGGGAAGATCAAGCACTATTAGTGCTGTAACTCTTGCCCTTTCCCTGGCCTTTGATTGGCTGGGAAGAGTCCTGTGACTTGGCTGGGAAGAGGAGCCATTGGAGTGTGCCTGCCTCTGCCAAGGGAGCATTACCCAGCTAACCAGCTGGGTGCCTGGTTAGCAGCCATGGGCTCAGCCTACAGGGAAGCCCAGTCTGATGGATGAGAGTGTAAGGACATGGGGCTGGTTGGGGTCATGGATCAGCTGGGACTTGTGGATGCCTCCTGCCTTTCCTGCCTTTGGTGGAGGATTTCGAAATAGTTTTCAAGCTTTAATTAGTTCCAGCCTGTCTCCTTGTCCCAGCAGTTTTCCGGATGGATAAACCAGGACCCAGAGAGGCTAATTGAACTTTGTATCCTTGTGGGTCTTACTGACTCCAGAGGAATTGGAATCATTCAACCCTCTTGGACAATCAGGTAGCCAGTGACCCCTCTGAAGTAACACAGGGAGGAGGTGATGTGGCTTGGCATTGCTCTGGTAATAGGGGCTCATGGCCCGGTGCTACTGCCTGGCATGTCCCCTGCCCCCCCCCGATAAATCCCACTGTTCTGCTTTGGGTGGGGAGGGGGGGGGAGGTGAGCAGGGGGCCAAGGGAACATATAGGCTAATAACGTAATTACATTAAGGAATAATGAAGGGAACTGATACGAGGGATTAATTACAAGCAAAATCCCAAATTAATTGTGAGTAGTACATGTAGCTGGCTCTGCAGCGATGTTTTGCTAGTGTGCTGCTCCTGTGCCAGGCTGTGGCTGTGTGGCCTTGGGGGGATGCTAATAAGGGAGCAGGAGAGGAGTAGGTGGGTGACAACCTCTTGGTCATCTCATCTTCTCCACCTGGTGAATCTGTATCAGACCACAGTGAATGTTGGCTGTATAGCAGAGCCCTGCAGTAGGCAGGGGTTGGCAGGGAACTGGGCTCCCTTGCTCAGGGCCACCAGCATGTGTGGGAGGGCCAGGAAGATAGTTTCTGTTGGGTTTGGGTTTTTATTTTTCTTCATTCCCTCCTGCATGCTGGTTTGCTCCCTCTGATGGATGGCTAAAGCACAGCTGACAGCCTCTGGAGGGAAAGTGAGTCTGTCACAGGCTTGATTGCAAGAGAAAAGCTACGGAGGAAAAGTTTCCTTTATTAAAAAAAGTGACCTGTTATACTTGGCTTGTGTTAGTGTTTGCAGTGTAGCAACTCCTTTTCTGATTGTGCTCAAGTGCAGCTCCTGGGAGATGATGAGAGGCTCAGCACCCTTGCTGCCTACTCCAAGTGGTCTGGGGTGCTCAGCACCCTGCAGGGTCAGACCTCGATGCAGAGGGACCCTTGCCAGCTTTGTGCTTGTGTGTCTTGCACCAGCCTTGCATTTCCTTCTGCATCATCGCCATCTAGAAAGCCTCAGCACCTGGAGCTCAGTTGATAGTCTCCAGATATTAAATTCCTGTCAGTTTTATAGCAGCAGAGCCACTTAACAGATTAAAATAACTGTGTATCCTGCAAAAATTCAGATCCTGACAATTAAGGGATTGAAGTGGCAAAGCTGTAGGGAACAACAACAACAAAAAAGCAGTGCTTAATACCCAGGAAGCTTGTGTTGACTGGGACTTGAGACTTGGCTGGGGGCATGGATAGGTCCAGGATGTGAGAGAAGGGAAAACTTCTGTCATGCTTTGCTGCTGAATTCCCACCCTGAAATCTCTAAGAGCAAACTCAGGC